TCACACACACCCGTCCTTTGACTTTTCCACTTTTTGATGCATTACAAACTGGAATGAAACTGATTAAATTGCCATGGTTACCACGTGATATACACAAAATGCTCAACACTGTGAAGGTGCAAAATGTTTTTTATTCTGGAACAAAAGTTAAGTAGACCAAAACAAACTTGCACTAATTATTTATACACACCCCAAGTGAATGCTTTGTAGAAGCACCTTTGATAGCAATTACTTACAATTACTGTGTGTCTTTCTGGATAAATCTCTATTAGCTTTGCATGTCTAGATCCTGCCATGTTTGTCTGTTCTTCCTGGCAAAACTGCTCTAGTTCTGTCAAGTTGGTTGGGGACCACTGTTGAACAGCAACCTTCAAGTTTTGCCAGATTCTCAGTCGGATTGAAGTCTGGGCTTTGATTGAGCTATTCCTAGCATTCTGGTTCTTGTTTTGAAACATTCCAGTGTTACTTTGCTTTGCCATGGAGTTTTGTAGGGTTCCATTTTATCCCCGATGCTCTTCCACATCTACATGAAACCACTGGGAGAGGTCATCTGGGGGTTTGGGCTGCAGAGTCATCAGTACGCTGATGACATCCAGCTCTTCCTCTGTTTTACTTCTAATCCAGGTGAGGCAGTAGCTGTCCTTAACTGGTGTCTGGCCGGGTTGATGGGCTGGATGAGGGCCAACAAACTGAGGTTTAATCCAGACAAGACAGCAGTCCTGTTGGTAGGCAGTTCGGCCTTCCAGGTAAGTGATTTTAGCCCTATTTTGGACAGTATTTCAGCCTGGGAGTGCTTCTCGACCCAGAATTGTCCCTGGAGTTCCAGGTGGCAGCAGAGGCAATGGACACTTTCCTTCAGCTTTGGCTGATCCACCAACTGTATCTTTACCTGGATGAGCAGTGCCTAGCAATGGTGACCCATGGTCTGGTAACTTCCCGATTGGATTACTACAATGTGCTCTACATGGGGCTGCCCTTGAAGACGGTCTGGATACTTCAGTTGGTTCAGAATTATAGCTGCCCAGATGTTAATGGGGACCGGCAGTTATTCACATATAATGCCGGTCCTCTATCAGTTACACTGGCTGCCAATTGAAGTGTGGGCCCAATTTAAAATACTGGTGATGACCTATAAAGCCTTAAAATGACTTAGGACCTGGGTATCTGAAGGAGCATCTTCTTCCCTATGTGCCTACCCAAGATTTAGGGTGGAGGTCCTTCTTCGGGAGCCCTCCTTGAGGGGGATTAGGAGGGTGGCTACCAGCAGAAGGGCCTTCTCTGCGGTGGCGCCCCAGTTATGGAATACACTCCCAGAGAGGTTTGTCTGGCACTGATACGTTATTCCTCTTGGTGCCACACTAAAACCTTTTCATTTTCCCATTATTTTAAGGTTTGAGTCTGATTTTAATGTTGGGTTTTACTGTATAGAAAATCAATTTGGATGCTGTGCTCCACTTTATTTTATTGTAAGACTGTCCCGAGCCCTCAGTAGTGGATGGTATATATAAGTCATAAATAAATACATACATACTTTGCTGTATTTTTAGGCCATTGATCTGCTGGAAAGTGAACTTCTGCACCAAGCCTGGGTCTCTCACCTACTGAAACAAGTTTACGTCTAAAAATTCCCTGAATTTGGTCCCATCTTGCCCTCAATCCAGACCAGTTTACCAGTCTTCGCCAAGCAAAAAGTATACATAAAACATGATGCTGTCACCACCATGCTTTATTGTGGGGTTGGGATCCTCGGGGCACTGAGCACTGCTGGCTTTGTGCCACGCATAGTATTTTGCAGCAAGGCCGAAAGCTTAACGTTAGTCTCATCAGACCAGAGAACCTCTTCCCACCTGTTTCTTGCTGGGTCTCCCACATGCCTTTCTGCAAACTCCAAATAGGCTGTGGTATGGGCTTGTTTCAACAGGGATTCTTCTCTTACCCCTCCTTGGTAAATCTTAGAATTGTGGTGTTTTGCTGTTAGTTGTCCCATGGATGGTTTCCAGCATCTCAGCTGCCAACTCTTTTAGAGCTACCACTGGCCTCTCTGAACTTTCTTTGACTAATGCACTACTGAATTTTGCCTTGTCTAGGTAAAGGTGCGGTTAAGTCACATTCTTTTCATTTTGTAATAACAGATTTAATGGTGCTCAGGGGGTTGTCCATGGTTTGTTTGTTTCTTTAACAACCCAGGCCTGATTGGTGCTTGTGCACCACTTAATCCACTTTATTTGTAAGCCGCCCTGAGGCTTCGGCAAATGGGGCGGCATAGAAATTTTCTAAATAAATAAATAAATAATCCCAGCCTCGTTTTGATGGCTCCTTAATCTTCATGATGCTTCATATGCTCTCCAACAAACTCTGGAGCCTTCCAGAAATAGCTGCAGTTGTTTTGAGATTATGTGGCACTAGAACAACACACAGGTAGACTCTAGTCAACTACTCAGAGTATGTACCTTCTGGAGGTAGGGGCTACACATAACTTATTCAGGAATGTCACAGCAAAACCGGGGGGGGGGGATATTTATGCAACCAACAAGTGCCATTTTTATTTGTGTGCCCTAACAAAAAAGGCACCACCATGGTGGAAAATTGTATGCCATGGTATGTTATGTACATCAAGGGATAACAATGCAAATTAAATCCATTTCAGTTCTGGGCTGTAACACAACAAATGTGGAAAAGTCAAAGGGCTTACTTACCACTGGCTATTTGAAATCAATGGTATTTAAGTTGTGACTTACTTAGATCCCATTGACCTCATTAGATCTACTCTATGCATGACCAAGCCTGTGTGCGCGCAGGTATCCTTAGCTCTCAGAGCTGGCTGCATTGACTAGCAAGGACTTAAGCTTATTTAGAGGTGAAGTGCGTGGCTAATACAATCTTCAGATTTAAAAGATCCAATAACACCAGAAGCATACACTTCAAGGGTTATTTATTTTCTTCCTTTGAACATTATTTTAAGGGAGATGAAAGTATTTGTGTTTGTCACTGAAGTAAGCTTTTTTCAAACCTCAGGAAAAGCTAGTTTAGAATCATTTAGTTTTTGCATCAAAACTAGTTAGGAGTCAGTCATAATGTTAACAAAGTTACTCCCTTGAGGTTCACTTATATCTCCAAATGTCTGCTTAGACATAGTTCCTGCTTTCCTGATTCATATTGCACAGTGGTATAGTTAGGCCATCGTGGGTTGTAGAACCTGCCAGTGGCCTACTGTGACATTTAAAACTGATGAGAGCAGGTTGTCTCTGTAGTTAACAAACCATCCACACCCCTAAAACATGCAGGTCAGACAGCTTATTTCAGCAACTTTCTATGGTTCTGTTGCAGTGTATGTGACTCTAAGCCCAAAACATTGATGTCTTTGAAAGGAAAAATGATGACCTTTGGCTTGTGGTCTTGTTTGAAGAAGATGCATCAACTTATGGAACACAAAGAATAACATTGCTAAATTAGGTCAAGCAAATGGAGAGTGACCCCCTCTCACTTGCTCTCTCTGGGCAGTATCACGGGGCCTGGTGCTCCCGCAAAGAGATGGAAAATGCCATGGAAATAAGGTAGTGTTTCTTAATTTCAGCCCCAATGGGTCTACCATTCCTCTAAAGAAAGAGGGGATGCCACTTTGTGCCATCTTGTCCTCTGAGTCTGAAGGGAGAAAGGGGTGGTGGTGTTTATTTCATTTTTGTATTGTCAACACCTGAAGCTGTCTGGGCAATTCACAATAATTAAAACCATGATAAAATACAAGATTACACAGTAAAGAGCCAGTGTGGCATAGTGGTTAAGAGCACAGGACTGGGACTCGGGCAATCTGGGTTCTGGTCCCCACTGAGCCCTGGAGCTCCCTGGGTAACTCTTAGCCCAACCTACCTCACAGGGCTGTTGTTGTGAAGATAAAGTGGAGCAGTTTCCCCATAGTTTCAGCACTCCTGGTTACCTCTGTTGCGCGAAACACTAGTGCTAAATGGGCATTTCCCAGAGCCAGAGGTGTCAAACACAGAAGTACAAGATTAACATACAGCAGTTTTATCACTGAGCAGAGTTTCTCTACCTATTTCACCGCCCTTTGAAGACCTGTATATTTTTCATTGTGTCTGTCCGCGCTGGTGGTGATGATGCCACGACACAGAGGTAGGAAACAAGACTGAGTGAGCTGCTTATTTGACGCTGCTCAGGTCCTAACCTCATTCCCTATGTCCAGGCCACAGTTTTACCCGTGGTAAAATGCTAGGCAGCTGGATCAAACCTTCAACAAGTGCAGAGAGGGAAACTTGCTTTCAGATCCTGGTCTCAAAGCTCAAGATTTTCCTTTGCAATGCAGTACGGACCTCATCGCAGCACCCATTTTTCATCCCGCGCAAGCGTCCCACCCCCGCCCTCATTCTGTCATTGTCTTTCGGGAAACGCAAAACCCACTCACTGCCCCGTCCCGTCCCCGGCCTTCCGGTAAAAGGGGCCACCCTTTTTTCTAAAATCAGATTAACAGCATCCGATCGCAGAAGTTGGTTGTGCCGCCTTTTCGAATGCGTTTGGAGCAGGCATGAGAAAGCTCTGAGGGCGGGCTGCGTCAACGGGATTTGCTCGCCCGCTTGGGGAGCAAAACAAAGCAGCGACGCGGGTGCGGTGCAGGTGGTGGGGCGCGCAGGAGAACGCGGGGAGAGGGGAGGCAAGACGAGCCCTGCGCGACCCCCACCTCGGCGGGAAGGACACTTGCGCAGAGGGTGCTCAAGCGGCAGGGAAGCAGCCCGCCCGCGGGAGTGCGCAGGGGGCGCCGGCGCGAGTGGCGAGTGGCGCGCGGCGCAAGCCCAGCCGCTCCTCAGCCCAATCGAGTGACGCGGGCGCCGGGGGAACCTGCTGCTGGCCGAGGAGGAGACGGGCCGGGCAGGGCGCGAGGCGGGCAGCCGCCGGCAGAGGAGCAGCGCGCCGCCTACACAAGTCGCGGGGGGCGGGGCGGGGCGGGGGCGCCGCCGGACTGTCAGGAGCGGCACCGAGCGACTGCCCCGCTGTCCGCTCCGGGCGCGCCGGTTGCATGCGGCGCGCTTCTGCCCGTCTTGCCGGGCCGGGCCGCCTCGGCGCCTCTGAAAGTGCTTCGCGCCCAGCCGTTCCCTGCAGCGAGGTAAACTTTCCCGTCGGGTTTCTCTGCCGTTAGGCGAGGTCTGTGAGTAACTTTAATCGGGATGGGAGGGAAAGAAGGGGGAAAGGAGACGACATCTCCGCCTGCACAGACAGCGTCTGCCGGGTGATGGTGAGGCTTCTTTCCACTCTACGGAGGGAACGCCCCGGGAAGGTTAAAACCGGGCACGAGAAGCCAGACGGCAGCCTTCAAGCGTTTTGTACGCCACTCCGGGCTGACTGCAACCCCTCAGGCCTAGGTCAGTGGCCGGACATCAGCTTTGCGTGCAGAAGGGATGGAGATGCTGCCAGTCAGTGCTGGAGGCCGATAATGGGACTCAGTATGAAGCAGCTTTCTCTGTTCCCACTTCTGTGTAAAACATGCTACGAATCGCACTTTCAGGCTCTCTCCTGCAGAGGACCACCAGCTCTTGAGTCTGGCGTGTAGGTGGCAGGTATTCTGACCAAGTTGGGGTTGGGGGGGTAAATTATGGAAAAGGTATGATTGCATTTCATTTCTCTGTATTGTTTTAAATAGTGGCTGCAGAGCCCCCCTTGATTAGGATTTCTGTATGTGGCAAGAGAGATTGAGCCTACCCTCCACCGTGCCATAAAACTCCGAAAATTGCTCCCTACCCAACCAAGCTGTTGTTCACTGTAGGAAGAAAACTGCCATTGGCATTAACCCTAAAGAAAACCCTTCCTCCTCTCCAGGCACATCTCTGCCATGTTGATGTGTTTTCTTTGGTGCAATATTCATTGTGCTTTAGAATATTTGACCAGAATGATTTTACGAGGCAGCAGTTGATCCTGTTAGATGCTCAGGAATCTAGCTAGTGACCTAATGACCTAGCTAGTCTCCTACATTTTTGCTTTGCTGAGTAAAACAAACACTTTATAACTTCTCACACATAGCCCACTGCCCCAAAGCTCACATTGTATTCTCATAACTTTCCCTGATTTGGGCATGGTTATGGCAAGTTGGTTGTGCAAATATTCAGGCTGCAATAAATTTTTATATACCACTAGTCAATCCAGTTTGTCTTGTGTTGAATTATAGTGCAGTTGAATTATTGTGCCATCATAGATTCAAATAGCCTCTCTAGAATCCAGGAATCAACCCAAACTGAGTGGACACATGTCCGCATCTTGTCACATCAACTCTCATAGCGAGAAATATTTCCTCTTTAGTCTCTGGGTGTGAAAAATATATCAGAGATTTTTCATAAATATTGCATGATTTGATAAATGTTAGACATTTACTATGTACTAATCATCACTTAGCACATAGTCTGAATATATGGGATGACTTGTATTCAACATGAGTAACATAGCTGGATTGAAATGAATGGAATATTGGATGCAACCCAAAAGATGTTGATATAGTGGATTTTTGTGAATCTAAAGTTATAGATTTGGAAATTCTATCACTACCTTGCCCCAAAATAACTGAAAGTGGATCAAATGATTCTGAAGTTGTCATGTATAATTTAACTTTGCAATGATAATTCAGCACAAAGGAAATGATGATAATGAATATAAGCAAGCATAATTTCTGTGTGCATTTCTAAATCACGCAAATGCTAATTGTGCTCGGCCAGAAAATAATTTGCGATAGTATTGTCTCATCAGCTGGTCTCCCCACAGAGAACTGTTAAATCTGTGGGGAACAGCAGAGAAAGGATTGCAAGGGAACATGACGAGCAGGGGAGTAGCGGACCACCTCTCTTCTGTCTGCCACTTCTTTTCTGGAATTTTGACAAAGAAAAGCTGCATAGGCTTCTCTGACCCAGGGGTGGCAGAATTAGTAACAGACTGAAAAACCAAGTCCTTTTCAATATATCTATTCTATAAAATCTCACATTAAGAACATACCTACTGCACGCTGTTTCCACCCGATGGTGCCACAGCTATACATATGGAAAAGGCATCCAGATGCATACCTGGGTGCACACCTAGTGGCTGCATGCCAGCGGGACCTCTGTGCAGCTGGGTCACCTATAGCCATTTCTCCTTTGCTTACGGTATCTTCCGTCGCCAGCTGTTGGGATGGTGTAACAGTGCCAGGGATAGTTTAGTGCTCAGGAGTAAAGAGGGCATGGAAGTGCGGAACATGGAAATGTTGAGAAGTTGCTATGGTACAGCCATTTTGAGAGCCAGTGTGGCGCAGTGGTGAAGAGCGCAGGACTGGGACTCAGGAGATTCGGGTTCGAGTCCCCGCTCAGCCATGGAGCCAACTGGGTGTCTTTGGGCCAGTCACAGACTCTCAGCCCAACCTACCTCACAGGGTTGTTGTTGTGGGGATAAGATGGAGGAGGAGATGTAAGCTGCCTTGAGTCCTTTGTAGGGGAAAGGCAGGATATAAATCACAATATAAATATAAAAAATGAATGGATGGATGGATGGTATTCTAGAAATGCTTGTTCATTGCACTGTACATTTTATAATGGATTGAGTTTTAAAACTTTGAATTCCTCCTTCATTAGGAGTTAGCGAGCACCATAGCTGATTGCTGGTAACATATTTTGGCCCCACTGGTGCCTCCATGATGCAAGTTCTCATTGACTGAAAGCAGCAGTGGCTATACGACCAGCAAAATAGCCATCATTGTGATGGGTAGTGTATGTGGATTGGGCTTGTACATTATAAATATCTTCGAGTGACTGGGATAGGGGATCAATGTAAGTTATACCTTTGTGTGAGATCCAGAGGCATTGAGCTACCCATTGTCCTCAGTGCGACTCATCCCTATGTTTGCTTTCCCCCATAGGAGTAAACTCAGAAGACTAACAATATATGAAAAACATATGCCAAATATATCCATGTTTTAACTTAACTAAGTCCAGTCACTTTCTCAACCACGGCACTCTTTTTCTTGCCCATGGACTTCTGGCAAGGGACGGGTTACACCTCACGAGGATGAGGAAAAGGTCCCTTGGAGATGCTCTAGCAAGCTTCGTCCGGAAGACTTTAAACTGAGCCAGGGTGGGGGGGTTCAGGCCCCCCCAGTAAGTGTCTGCACTGGACAAGTGTGAGGGGAGGATCAGGGCTCTGGGAGGAGGGTTTTAGAGATACTGCAGGGACTGACAGGACTCCTACAGAGAGGAGCCAGGTATCAGGGAGGATGCGAGGAAGGAGGAGGCTGGGAACTCTAAGGAAAGGAAGCGGTGGGAAGGAGTTGAGGTGCATGTACACCAATGCTAGGAGCATGGGTAATAAGCAGGAAGAGCTTGAAGCTCTCCTAGGAATAGGAGGTTATGAACTGGTGGGAATCACAGAAACTTGGTGGGATGAAAGGCAAGTCTGGAATGTGAACATAGAAGGGTATCACCTTTTTAGAAAGGACAAGAAGGGAAAGAGATGTGGGGGTGTGGCTTTATACATCAGGGAAGGGATAGGATGTGAGACAGAATGCAGCACAGATGGGGATTCGGTAGAGGCAATCTGGGTGAAACTCAGGGGTTTTGACAGGGAAAGAGACCTGACAGTGGGGATATGTTATCGCCCCCCCAGGTCAACTTGAGACCCTGGATGATGTCCTGACAGGCCAGATTCTAAGGATATCTCGAGGGAGAGACACAGTAATGATGGAAGATTTCAATTTCCCGGATATTAGTTGGGAGACTCACTCGGCGGTGACAGCCAGGTCACGTTGCTTCCTAGAAGCTATAGAGGGAGCACTTTTCACACAGAGGGTCCGAGAGGCGAGGGGGGGAAACATCCTTGACTTGGTCTTGACCAATAGGGAGGAGCTGATAGATGAAGTACAGATTAGGGGAGCTCTGGATGCGAGTGATCACTCCATCCTTTGCTTTGAGATCAGGGGACTGCAGACGGGCAGCAGGTCGAGCACTAGAAGCTGGGACTTCAAGAGGGCCAACTTTGGCCAACTGAAGGCCAGACTGGGGAAAGTCTCCTGGGATAGGTTATTGGAAGGTAAGCGAGTTGAGGAGGGGTGGATGGCACTCAAAAGGGAGGTTTTGGAGGTGCAAGCCTTGACGATACCTCTAGTCAGTAAGGTGGGGAAGCGGAGGAGAGCGCCGCCATGGATGCAAAAGGAGGTGGTTAGAGGGATTAGACGAAAGAGGAACCTCCGTAAGAAATGGGTACTGGAGGAAATAGACAAAAGGGTATACTGGGAGGAGGAGGCCTGTCGCAGAAGGATTCTTCGCAAGGCTAAGGCTGATTACGAGCTGAGACTTGCCAAGAATATCAAGAGCAACAAAAAGGGCTTCTTTCAGAATGTAAATAGGAAGAGGAAGGGGAGACAAGTGGTGGGACCACTAAATAAGGAGGAAGGAGATCCAGTGACTGATATGAGGGAACAGGCACAGATGCTAAATGACTATTTTACCCCTGTGTTCTCCCCAAAGCAGGACAGGGGATATCCGCATAGGAGATTAGATGAGGCTGGGGACTTAGGGGCACAGATTAGAGTCACCCCCCCCTTGAAGTCGAGGGGCTCCTCAGGGCATTGGGCATTACAAAGGCGCCAGGCCCTGACAGGTTACACCCAAGAGTATTTAGAGAGTTAGCAGGGGTTCTCTCACGCCCGCTGGCCTCCATTTTTGAACGGGTGAGGTTACAGAGGACTGGAGGGTGGCATCAGTGGTCCCAATTTTCAAAAAGGGTAGTGGAAGGGACATGGGGAATTATAGACCGGTTAGCCTTACATCCATTGTAGGAAAAACAATGGAAAGGCTCATAATAGAGAGAGATCTAGTGATGCTAGATAGGGAAGGGAGGCTGACAGCCACACAACACGGCTTCTGCAAAAACAGGTCCTGCCAGACAAACCTTGTGGAATTCTATGACAAGGTTTTGAGATGGTTAGATGGAGGGGATGCAGTGGATGTGGTGTACCTGGATTTCAGCAAGGCCTTTGACAAAGTGCCCCATGATATCCTGGTGGAGAAACTGAGGAGTTTTGGGATACTCCAAAGCACTGTCCGGTGGATTAGGGCATGGTTGACTGACCGAAAGCAGAAGGTAACCATTAGCGGG